CATCAGAAACACTTCCCTATGGTCGGCTTGGCATACTGATTTGATTGATTTGTCTGAGGTGGTGGTTGATTTATCGATCGCTCGCCTGATCGTGGAGGATTAGACCAATCAGTTGTCCTTGGCCCTGCCGACTCACCTCTTGCCTTCTCGGTCGAACTTCCCTGATCGGTTCGCCTGAAAGGTGGTGTCTTGGAGGCCAATCTTTCCGCCTTTAGAGCCATATTGTGGGCTTCGTCCACAGAGTACACATTGTGGATGACCACCTTCTCTTGAATCGAATACTTCAAACCACCAATATATTTGGCTGCGAGTTGTTCCTCACTCATAGAAAAATCACAACGAGAAGTAAGACGGAAGAACTCTTTGGTATAGGCGCTTACTGATCTAACTCCTTGACGGTATTGCTCGAACTGGTTGTAGAGGATTTGTTGATAGTCAAGTGGTAGAAATCTTGCCCGTAGTAGCTGCTTCATGTAACGCCAGCCCCGCACCGATTGCTTACCTTGTCATCTCCTAGTGTTTTGATTTTGATCCAACCATGCCGCGACTTCTCCTTTGAGACGATATGCTACAAACTTCACCTGGTTTGCTTTGGGCACATTAGTCATCTCAAAGAACTTCTCCACTTCATAGAGCCAATCTAAGAAAGCCTTTATGTCCAGATTTCCTCCGAAGGAAGGAAGCTCTACCTTCATCCGATAGTCTTGGTCCTGATGATATCGGCCTTGTCGGTGGTAGTTGTGATGAGGGTTGTAGCCTCTACCTGACCTCTACCATAAGGCCGATCTCCTTCCTCTTGACTCGAAACATTATCATACCATGGCCCTTCAAATTGGTGACCATAGTCCGCTATATCGTCACTGTAATCATCATGGGTAAGGGTTTGATTGGGAAGTCATCGAAGGAGTGGAGGGGGTTGATATTAAGGAGGTTGATGCGGAGGGGGTTGATATGGAGGGGGTTGGTTTGGACGTGGTTGATTTGGAGGGGAATGAACTGGAGGGAGTTGATGATTATACGGGGGTGGATGTCGAGGTTGCCTAACTCTGGGTCCGTCTAGGTGAAGACCATCGACGAAGTTATTCCCGTTATTGAGGTGAAGGGTAAGTCATTCAATGGCTTGTTGAAGGTTCTGAAGTGACGCCTCCAACGTGCCAAATATTTCATCCATAGAATCCATCCTCGCGGAAAGATCCTGTAGAGAAAGCTCATTCTCGCCGTCACTTTCCATTGTCGAGGATGTTGAAGCCAAAGCTCTGATACCACTTGACGCAGACGTAGAACGGGGAGGCCGATTGGATATCATTCCGATGCCGATGAGCCCTGACAATAACAGGTAATTCACGAGCTTGAATCCACAAGCCAAAAGTTTCTCAAACTTGATAAAGAAAGCAATGGAGAAAAATTCTCTTAATTGGTGAAAAGTTCATTATTAATTTACAAAAGGAACTATTATATATAGCCAACTAAACTTATCCTAACTCTAATAAAAAAGAAACTCTGTTTCTAAAAGGAAATAACCAAAAACGAATTCTTTCCTAATCTGATGTCCGAGTCGACACGAGGCAAGTCGACTAGTACCGCCTTTCGTTTCGACTGGGCATGTATTCCCAATTTCTGTTCCAGTCGACACGAAGCGTGTCGACTAGTACCGCCTTTTGTGTCGACTAGCATGTGTTGTCTCGTTCTGCCTGCTTCGCCTCGTCTTGTCTGCTGAAATCTCGTCTCGTCCGCTGAAATGTCGTTTCATCTGCTCCGATGTCGTCTCGTCCGCTAAGATGACTTGGTTTGTATTGAGTTGAGATGTCGGATATTGGACGAGTTGAGATGTCGTCTCGTCCAATTACTTGATCTCTTGTATTAACACATGTAAAATCTGAACTTCTAATTTGGTCTTACACTCCTGCAAATGGTAAAATTCACCCTTGCTCATCATCTGCATGTTGCGCTGATACTAACGGTACGTCTCAGGTCCTCTAAACCTAGTTTTTATTGCTAGACGGAAATTTCCGTCTAGTTTGACATTCTAGACAGAATTTTCCGTCTAGAATGCCTCAAACTAGACGGAACAACCTAGACGAAAATATTTCCGGCTAGTTTTTCCCAACCTAGACGGAATTTTTTTCCATATAGGTTGTTCCGTCTAGTTTGGTCATTTTTCTACTAGTGTTTTACTGCTAAAACTCGAATAATGATCGGAATTACAAGCACCTATATATATGTATGAGTGCACATCAAATATTATTTGTAATTATGAGACACAAATCCCTGAAAACATAGACTAAATTCACCAAAACTATGACACCAGAGTACAATGCAAGGCCTCATGCGAAGATATATATGCAAAGTGGCCTGTTCATTTCCTGAAGGTAGTGGCACAAGATATCCTACTGGACACCACCAAAGCGAACACCCTAATGGTAAAGTTTAACAAGCTCAACTGTGATTGCAAGTGGTCTACTCACTAAATCTAGATATAAATAAAAATTTTAAAAAATTAGCTGCTTTTATAATTCATTAGAAGGTACGTATATTTTAGAAAAATGCACTCGGAGAACCTCCTGCTCTGAGTATAAAAGAGCTCGATCTTAGAAGTACAATTAAAAGGTGCACTATGAATTTTGTAGTGAACATAGGTAAATCTCTGTTTGAACCGGATCTAGTAAGAAGAAAGAGGAAACAATTACTAGGAAGAAGGCTGTTTTAGAAATATCCAAGGAAATAACAGAATAATACCGGTAAGGCGGTAACGCATGCATAAAAAAATCCTTCTAATATGATGTAATTCAGACAAATCTTTAAGGTGTTTTCAAATAAATTGCAAGAAATAAGAAAAAAACATTAGTTTATATATATACACACACATACATATACATATACATATAAATATCCATTTTATTGTCACATATAGGTATATTTATATTGTTTTAATATTTAAAAAAGCTTAAAATTTCTTGGCGTGCAACGAAGGGCAAAGATGTTAGGTTTAATTGTAAATAGACCTCCTGAGTGAAATACTTTTTTTATGTGTTACTATTTTACCGTCAGAGAAGGAGGAAATTGTTTTTTTTTTTTTTTTTACTAGGAGACCTCCTGAGCGCAAATGAAAAAAATATCATTCAGAAGATCTATCCATAGAACTATAAAGGTCCATCCACAAATTTGGCTATAGTACGAAGGATCTATCCGCAATTAATCCAAGGTTTTAAGTTCATATAAGTGAGAGGGTCAAGAGGTTTTGTAGAACATGCTTTTGACCAAATCAAACACGACCAAAAACACTTTCTACACATTCAAAGACTCGATGGTCCCCAAGCTGAAGTCGTCGGTTTGATCACGCACCAATCACAGCATCTTCCACTCTCCTTCACAAGTCCCCTTCTCCCCAATCTCTATTTTTCCTCAATTGACTTGTTTTGCCTCTATCCTCGTCTCTCTCTTCCCTATTCTAAGTAAAAAAAAAAATGTAAGTTCCTTTAATCTATATATATTATTCTCTTAACTCTTGCATTGGTATTTTCTGTTCATTTCATGGAGAGTAACCTTTTACCCTTGTCAAAGTGTAAACTTCAAAAACGATAAGGGTTAATACATGAATTAACAACTTGAGAGTGAGATAATAGACAAATTGAAAGGTTGATAAGAACCATAGTATGTAATTTACCCTTTTTTAAACTAAGATAAAAGAGGAGTTAATTGTGAATAGACTCCTATTGATATTTTGAAGCTTATTACCTTTCTTGTTTATTTACTGCACATAGATCTATTAAGAGATTTTTTTTTTTTGGCGAGCAAAAAAAATCTTTCGGAATGAGTAAGAATGAGTTATGCAGCCTATCACTAAATAAAAGAGAAAATTTGCAAAATAGTCCGTTTTTGCTAATTATTTAGCAAAATAGACCGTTTTGCTAAATAACAAAATAGTCCGTTTTTGCTAATTATTTAGCAAAATAGACCGTTTTGCTAAATAATTAGCAAAATAGATCTCTTTTGATTTGCTAATTATTTAGCAAAATAGACCGTTTTGCTAAATAATTAGCAAAATAGATCTCTTTTGAAAAAAAGAGGTCGATTTTGAAAAACAAGACTCAGAAAACATACGGGACTACTAGTCTCGTATGTTTAGAGCCAACTTAATCACGGATTAGTGACTCAGAAAACATACGGGACTATTAGTCCCGTATGTTTTCTAAGTTCATCTCAATGTTTTGTGAAATTTTCTGAGTTCACTAATCCGTGATTAAAACAGCTGTTTTGCAAAATAGACCTCTTTTTGGCCAACAGGCCAAAAAAGATGTATTTTGCTAATTATTTAGCAAAACGGTCTATTTTGCTAAATAATTAACAAAAACGAACTATTTTGCAAATTTTCCCTAAATAAAACTAGAGCGAAAGCAAATTCAGTATAAAATCAATGGAAAGAGAGATTGGTTGCTTCTTGCATACCTCGTTTCGTATAAAATCTATTAGAGGGGAAAATATGGGAAGTTGCTGAAAAAACATTATATGTGATGTGGTTGAAAAAACGAGGTAACTATTTATCATAATTTTGCTCTATTTTGAACTGATTTTGCTTAGGATAGTGAAGCTGCCGTGGTAATTAAACGTAGAGTCTTATTAGGGGCACACCCTCAACCACACTTTCAACCATACCCCCACACTCTCTATAGTGCTAGTGGGTTATGCAAGATATTTTTAAAAAAATATCATGCATGGCCCACTAGCACTATAGAGAGTGTGAGGGTATGGTTGAAAATATGGTTGAGAGTGTGCCCCTAGCATTATTTTTAAGAGTGCTGCTACGGGGACCCAAAATATGGGACCAAGAGAGGGGATAGGTGAGATGTCCCCTCCTTATTACATAATGAGTTGGCCATACCAACTTATTATGCAATAGGAAGGGGACACCTCATCTGTCTCTTTCCTTGGTACCATATTTTGGGTCCTTAAGTTATTTTCCGTGTAAATTTCCAGGCATTTTACCCGCAAACAAGCGAACACCTTCTAGAGCGCGCACGCCTGCTTTGCTTTGCTTGTGCTTTCGTCTCCATTTCTTACCTCCAACTCTCCCATTATTTCCTCTCCTCATTTCACTTTGCTTTACTTTGCTTTGGTCCTCATCACTCTTCCTCCCTCCCCATTTCTAAACTAGAATAGGGGGGGGGGGGGGGGGAGAGAGAGAGAGAGAGGAAGAAAAACTCTACGATCCAGTACTCTCTGTTCTCTCTCCTACTTCTTCAAACTCCTCGTTCTTTTACCCACAATCCTCACTTTTGATCCGTTACTAAAGGACTCATCAAGCTTCAATCTTTCTGCGTCGGTCTCTTTGAACCCCTCTTTTCCCCATCTGGGTCTTCCTCTCTTGCCTCGAAAACCTTCAATTTCTTGGAGCTTTAGATTTGGTTTCAGCCTCAGGGTCCAAGCTTTTCTCCTGCTTTGTCTCTGGCTATTTTGACTTTGGCTTCAAGTCTCAATCTTTTCTCGTTTATTAATCTTACGGAGCACCCCTCATTCATCTGGTTCATTTTCTCTCCCTCCAAGTCTCCCCTTTTCCTTCCCAAATTTAGTTATTAAAAGCTTAAGTTTTCATTCCAACATGAATCTATTTGTCTCTTGGGTTTATGCTTTCAGCTCCAATCTCTGAAAAAATTCAACCTTTTCCTCTCAGTCCAACAAGAAATCATCCAAAATTGAACTTTCCTCCCAAACTAGTTTTACTTCGAGAGTTTATAGATAGATCTAATTAATGATGGGTAGTTCTTTCAGCAAGAAGCCCAATTCTCTATCACAAGGCGGCGGCAGCAGCAGCAGCAATAGCAGAAGCAACCACAATTCAACCGATTCAGACATCAACGGTAGCAGCAATGGAAGCAGCAGCAACCAATACATCAGAGGGCTGAGCTCCTATCAGTCAGATCCCCACCAAGATCCCGAACTCGAATCCTTCGACTCAGCCCTTCAGCATCGAACCATTGGAGCAATCTCGATGCTCGCCGGCTCAGAGATCAACTCAATATCCTTCAACACCCTCATGGAAGTCACTGGCTGCCTCCTTGACAACAATCAAGAAGTAATCAACATGATCCTAGAATATAAGAAGGATGTATGGAAGAATCCCGAGCTCTTCGATGTCGTCCAAGAGTTCTTCGACTGCAGCCTTCGAATCCTCGAGTTCTGCACTGCATTGGAGAAATGCCTCAAGAGAGCCCGGGACTCGCAACTAATCATCCACATTGCTCTCAAACATTCAGAGGAAGAACAAGGAGAGGGGAAGGATAAGTATAAGAGAACACTGGAGGAGTTGCAGAGATTTAAGAATATAGGGAATCCATTCACTGCTGAATTCTTTCAGGCCTTTCGATTAGTTTACAGTCAGCAGGTTTCTATGTTTGAGAAGCTGAAGAAGAACAAGAAGAAGCTCGACAAGAAGATGAAATCAGTGAAAGCATGGAGAAGAGTCTCGAGCATAATCTTTGTATCAGTATTTGCTGCTGTTCTAATCTGCTCAGTGGTTTCTGCTGTTATGGCTGCTCCTGCTGTTGCTGCTGCTTTAGCTGCAGCAGCAGCGGTCCCTTTAGGATCGGTGGGGAAATGGGTCGATTCTCTTTGGAAAGATTACTCCAAAGTTTTGAAAGGGCAGAAGGATGTCCTCAATATAATGCAGGGTGGGACTTTTGTTGCAATAAGTGATTTGGATAGCATTAGAGCTATTGTGGAGAGACTTGAAATTCATATTGGTTCTTTGATGCAAAATGTTGATATTGTGCTTGGAGATGAGGAGGCGGTGAAGTTTGGGATCGAGGAAATTAAGAAGAAGATGGAGGAGTTTATAAGGGGTGTTGAGAGTTTGGAGAAACAGGTGGATCGTTGTAGTAGAGATATACAAAGGGTGAGGACCGTTGTGTTACAGAGGATTATAAGGCACCCAGAATGAAATAGGAGGACATCTGGTATGCTTTTCTTGCTGTTGTCCTTTTGAGGAAGTTATATCATTGTTGTATTACTTCTGTTTTGTACAAAATGCCGAAATTTCTTGTACACATTTTCTTGAATAATTAAGATTACAGCAAGTGCAGTTCAGGTATTTAGTGTGGTAGTTATATTGCTAGTAATTAACTGTTGTAGTCACGCCATCCTCAAAAAGAGCCATTATTCTATGACATTCAGCTAAGTTACTAATTCAGAAATGATGAGCTGCCCTTGTGAATGCTTTAAACTATTAAATTGTTATTCAATTAGGATATGGTGTTCATTGTTTAACTTGTTTTGAGCTATCAGTTATCATCCCTGATCAAGGAAGCAATGAGAGGGTTTAGTCTAGTTGTTGGTAATGAGAGGTCCTTAGCTTCCGCTTGATTCCCAAATATTCGACATGATAGGCTGATTAAGCTGTATTAGCGAGCTGAGAGGTGAGAATATTCTTCCAACACCCAATATAGACCTCAATGGACACAGGCCATAAGTGGTGGATTTTCATATGAAACGCATGTTTTACGTCCGCTGTGAATTTGATCTTATCAACAGCTTGAGGGAGGGATTATGGTTTCCTGTAAGAAATATATATAAGAGGTTTCATGTTGCTTTCATAATTTTGGTGTACATGTATCAAGGACTTGCCTTCCCTTCTCTATCTCTGTGTCAATTTTGTGAGCGGAGGAAATCAGAAGAAACTATTGTTGTGAAAAAGAGAAAAGAGATTATGATAAGCTGCAAATAGAAGCTGTTAAGGGTGTCCCTGCTTTTGTAGGCATGAAGTCTGACCACGTAGAAACTTGGTGCACCTTCTTTCTTATTTCTTTGTCATTGTTTTTCGGTATATAGGACGTTTCAAAGATCCGTGAGAATTCTACTTCTGTTTGGAGTTCAACAGTTGTTACAATCTTAAGACCAGAGACATATGGAAAAAGGTCAACTCATGCGATGGTAAACAGCCTATAAATCTTCTACACACTACTCATCATGATCCACAGATCGTAAGATGCATATTGTTGCTTTCTATTCTAGTCGTCTACTAGTTGATGGTTATTATAGAACATGAGGACTGAAGGAAGCATTAAAATGATGACATTAAAGTTTTTCAAATCGCACAATTATTTGTCTATATTCATTCAGTATGGACTGGGAATTGAATAGGGACTGTACTAATAGAGTAGGAGCTCGTTCATATATGAGTTTATTTAAAATCCGATATGATGAATAGCAAATTGAAAGTGATTATAGATGATTAGTGAACAGATAACACAACCCAATGATAGTTTAAATCAACTTATTGGTGATTGTCTATTGACATAACAAAGCCCCTCTTTTGTCCTTATGTTTGGTGCTCATTCTTCATTTGGCTGTAAGTCTTGGCCTAGTGTCAACTGTCAAGTTTTATGCCTTACACCAAAGTCAATCTCCAAAGCCGAATCATATGTACCATATCATTTCACTCTAAAACCAGAACAACAGTCTGAATGTGGATAATTTTATTTACGAAATATTAATTATATAAGTCACAAAACATAAGGTTTTTCTTAGCTAGATGACAGCTTTCGGATTTCTTTAGTTATTAATTGATAAAAGAGAAGTATTGAGGTCCGCTCTCCCTTCCTCCACACACACACGCACATACACAAAAGAAGTCCCCGACATAATGCTCATTTAATTTTATTGTGATGAGCATTATTGGTTTGGATATTTTGTATGAAAAAAACTTTAGCCACATAATATAATTGCTACACAATGATTGGTTGAATTCTTATATGGTTTTGTTGTTGTTGTTGTTGTGATGAATTTGTTGTGACTGATGCTTTGAGAAACCAAACCAACGAACGCCGAGAGAAAGACCAAACAAAACACAAACACCAAGGTTTTACGTGGTTCGGCAAATTGCCTACGTCCACGGGGCAAGAAGGGGGTGGGTTTTCACTAATAGAGAAGGAGAGTACAAATTGAGATTACAAATCGCTCAAACGAACCAACTAATCTCACCAACAAATCTCTCAATCTCTCAACCAATAACCCTAACAAATAGCTCAGAAAGATCTCTCTTTTTCTGTGCTCCAAAACCCCAAAACTCTCCCCCCAAAACCCTCAAATCGTATTGGTATTTATACCAAAACAGAAACCCAAACAGACTGCAAATAGGAACCTGAACTTTCCAAAAAACCCGTCATAAGTCGACTTATCAGTCTGCATAAGTCGACTTGGCAGAGCGAAAAACAGCAACTGGAGAAGAGATCATAAGTCGACTTATCAGACCTGATAAGTTGACTTGGCAGAGCAAAAAACCAACAATCCAGAGCAGAACGTAAGTCGACTCATGCACCAACATAAGTCGACTTACCATAAGTCGACTTATGCCTGTGCATGAGTCGACTTATGACCAAAAATCTGCTTTTTCCAATTCTTCTCCACAATTCTCCACCTCGGCGAAGTTTTCCCAAAACTGAGCCGACACCAACCAAACAAATGCCTCACATGCTGAGACCCAAATGAGAGTGTGAACACTCACCCCAAATGTCGATGTCGCTCACCAAATCGGCTGCATCAAAATGACTGCCTACGTATCCTTTGCCCAAGGAATCAAGCCTTCACGTAGTTCACCCAAACGGCCTCCAAAGGCCCTCAATCAAATAGAAAAGTCTGCAACTCTTCTCCAATATCACCAAACGATCTGCAACTGATAGTATTCCCAATGACCCCAAATTGAGACAAATCAAACACCTCCACCTGAGGTAAACCAATGGCCATATCCAAACTATATCTACCAGCTGCAACTGAATCCAAAACCAATCCATCATCTGCATCCAAAACCAAATGATCTCCAACCTGTGTCACCTTAGCTGGAATCCCAAATGACGCAGTATGATCTGGAGTATGTGGAGTAATCTCCACCCAACGTGGAGTAGCATCACTCTCCACCTGCTGCGATATCCAAATGACCTGATCAACACTCTCCACCTGCCGAGAGTCAAAAGTGACATACCTGCTCAGAACAAAATCAGAAGCTCCCAAACGATAATCAACTGAGCCTCCGAACCCCAAACGCGCAATCGGATCCAATCTCACATCCACGATGTGACCAAATGCTGGGTATCCAAATATCCGACGCGACCCAAAATCTGAAGCAGCTCCACCAGATCTAATAACTCCTAAAGCAGCAGTCGGCGACCTATGCATAAGATGACCCAAATATGTCGAAGCCCGCACACCAATGCCAATGCTCGACATCAAACGCCGATCCTCCTCCAGAAAGGAACGACCCATCGAAACTGTCATCTCATCTCGTCGCCCCAAAGTCTCCACACCAATGAAGTGTCTCCTATTGCCGTGAGCTCGGCACCAACGCAAGAAAGGACCCCTACCAAAGCTGAAACAATGAGTTACCTTTCTGCCAATACACTTCTTCCAATTGTTGTTGACTTCTAGGACTTTACACCAACGGGAACTGGTCGCGACCCAATAATGCCTAGAACAATCACCAACTGTGGAAACCAAGATACGATTACCTCCCAATGATGCCTCCTTGGAAGGCCCCCAAATGCCTGACTGAACACCTCCAAAAAGACCCCTCGCTCGATGGATAGAAGTGCCAAACTCCACCACGGTCTCGCTCATCCTAATGTGCTCACAGGACTTCAATCTGCAGGTCATAGCACTCCTCAACAACCAATGCACGGTATTACCAATCATATACCCCAGCACCAAACAATGCCACAGTCTAGCCGAATCTGATGAAGTCGTCATTTCCCTATCAATCACCGTGCTTCCGTGCAAATAATACAAATTTCTTCTTCTGACGCCCTTCATCACAATCATGGACCCAAATGTAACCTTCAAGCGTGCATCCGCCAAGGTCACCCTATAGCCAGCTGCCTCCAAAGCTCCAAGTGAAATGATGTTCTTCTTCAACTGAGGAACGAACCTCACTCCAACCAACTCCCGAATCACCCCGTCACTCATCCTGATCCGAACAGTACCAATACCACCAATAGAGCATTTGTGATCATTCCCCATGAGCACGAAATCCCCTCTTTCCAACTCCTGAAAGCTGGAGAACCAATCCCTCCTAGGGCAAATGTGGTATGTAGCACCCGAATCCAATATCCACTCTGTAGAGTAGGCAACACAAACTGACGGCAGTGCAGATAACGAGTAGCCCGAAGAATCCGAATCTGAATCGTTGCCACTAGCCTTGACAACATTCGCCTCTGAAGCTTGAATAGCTTTTCCCTTATTCTTCCCGGCTCGATCAACTAACTTTGGGCAATCGGCTTTCCAATGTCCATCTTCTTTGCAAAAGGCACATTGATTCTTACGAACTCCAAGATGTGCCCCTCTAGACTGCGACCTCCCACTACGGTTTGGACCCTTTGCTCTTGCGACCAACGCCCCCGCTACCGGCTCAAACGAAGTCTCCTTATCCTTCTTTCGAAGCTGATAATTCACAAGTGCAGCGGTGACCTCACTATACGAAAGAGATGCCTTCCCATTAATAAGAGTAAGAACGAAGGTCTCATATTCCTCGTCAGGCAAGGAACTCAATAGCAACAACGCCTTGTCCTCATCTTCAATCTTAACATCCACATTCGCCAAATCCGCAAGAAGCTTCGTGTAGTGGTTCATGTGATCACCAATGGAGGTTCCTTTCTTCAACTGGAAGCGGTAAAGCCTCCTCTTCAAATGCAAGCGATTCTCCACACTCTTGGTCAAATACTTGCTCTCAAGGATCTCCCAAATCTTCTTTGCAGAAGTCTCATTGATCACATCATACTTTAGATCTTGAGTGAGACAAGACCTAATCACACCACACGCCGTTCGATTCATCTTTTTCCAAACCTTCTCATCAATGTTGTCCGGTTTCCCGTCCAACTCCAACGTATCTTCCAAATTTTGCGCGTTGAGCGCATCCATGACTTCGCATCGCCAAAGTCCAAAATTGTTTGTGCCATTGAACTTTTCCACATCAATCTTCATTGAGTGGATATTCAAGCTTTGGACGGTCTTCACGCCGGAAGTACTGCCCACAACTCCTTCTTTCTCGGCCATAATCCTCAAGGCACCACCAAACCAATGCGGAAACAAACGAGAAATAGATCCAAACTGAAAAAGACGAGATTTTTACAAAAAAAGATCCCACCTTTATCACCAAACGAAGCCCTAGATGAACTTCCAAAGCGATCTACTCCTCCAAATAGCCCAAGCGTTGCCCGTTCTCTGATACCACTTGTTGTGACTGATGCTTTGAGAAACCAAACCAACGAACGCCGAGAGAAAGACCAAACAAAACACAAACACCAAGGTTTTACGTGGTTCGGCAAATTGCCTACGTCCACGGGGCAAGAAGGGGGTGGGTTTTCACTAATAGAGAAGGAGAGTACAAATTGAGATTACAAATCGCTCAAACGAACCAACTAATCTCACCAACAAATCTCTCAATCTCTCAACCAATAACCCTAACAAATAGCTCAGAAAGATCTCTCTTTTTCTGTGCTCCAAAACCCCAAAACTCTCCCCCCAAAACCCTCAAATCGTATTGGTATTTATACCAAAACAGAAACCCAAACAGACTGCAAATAGGAACCTGAACTTTCCAAAAAACCCGTCATAAGTCGACTTATCAGTCTGCATAAGTCGACTTGGCAGAGCGAAAAACAGCAACTGGAGAAGAGATCATAAGTCGACTTATCAGACCTGATAAGTCGACTTGGCAGAGCAAAAAACCAACAATCCAGAGCAGAACGTAAGTCGACTCATGCACCAACATAAGTCGACTTACCATAAGTCGACTTATGCCTGTGCATGAGTCGACTTATGACCAAAAATCTGCTTTTTCCAATTCTTCTCCACAGAATTCATTTCAAGTTTTTCACTGTCCTATGACTCAAAATATTAGTTTCCCAGGGTCTATTACACAGCTATTGGATGACTTGTTTTATCACCTCCTTGACAATAAAGGTCACTACCAGACAGATTTCAAGAACTAGGACATAGACTTATAATCATTTCTTTTCTCGCGTTGAGATATTCCCATTATTTTACTGATGGTCTCTATTTCCTGTCTGATTCTAGGTCGAATTAGGTCTGGAAGTTTGCTTAACTCCTTTATTTTGTTAAATTGTAATAAAAAGTAACTGTTTATATTGCTGGTATTTGAACTGTTGTGAATATTCGCTATTTGTGTATAAATATTCCCATACTCTCGTAGTCTTAATCTAGTGTGCTGTGTATGAAAACTAGTAATATATCAGTTTAGATGGTTGTAGAACTTTTTGTTAGAGATAAAGTATCTGACATATTAATTGATAAGGATCTAACTTCTCAATGTTGTTCCTTATGCAGGATGTTTACATGTTACATTTGATCTTCTTGAACCTAAAATTTCAAGATAAATACTAAATCAAAAGTAGCGGCTCCATTATGCAAATAAAAATGTGGGATATGGGGTCCCCGGATAGTTTGTAAAGACTAGCTGCAAAAATGAAGAGCTTAAAGAACAAACTGATGACCAATGATCTTTCAACTAAATAATACTCGGGTGAAGTATCAAGTATCCATCTTCAGCTTGCTGCCAAAGTTGCATTTCAATGCCATTATATTATCCAAAATGCAGATGTATTTCATGGTTTGAATCATTTTATATGCAGTTTATTTCTCTTCTTTTTCATCGTCAATTGTGATAACTTATATTATGTACATCTTTGGCTTTTGTTGCTACTAATGCACCCATGATTCAGTAGATAAATTGTCGAGTAAAGAGATTATTTTTGGGGAAATATAGGGGGTGCAGAAAAGAATGTGTATATGTGGTGGATATACATGTTGTCGTCTCTATTAGGATACGCGCGCGCGCAGACACACGCACACATGCGCGCATGCGCACACACCCACGCACGCAGGCACACAACCACACCCACCCACACACACACGTGCACACACATATATACATGTGAAATAGTTTATAGTTATTATTAAATATATTAAATTAAAATTTTTGGATGTCTTTATTGGTAAAACCTTGTTGGTTTCAATCTTTTTACTTTCAGAAATATAGCAAAATTTAAACTCTTAAGAAATAACATTGTAAATAATAAACTATCCATCTGATAAACTTGTATATTGCATATGAAAATGAGCAAACTATTTAACTTGTGCATCACAATAAATTAGCGATGAAATGCTAGGTAGTATGTGCATTTTGCACGTAAAGCTTGGACATACTTGTTTTATATTCTGAGTTTTCTTCATTGGGAGGAGAATGGTGAAGTCACTCAGCGAAAAAAATAAAGATTAAAAGTAAAACATAGAAAGAGGAATCTTATGAAAATATCATGGAATAAGGTTTGATGCTAGGAGTTTCATGGCCAAAATGGACGAGGCAATGAAATTCTTAAGATACGAACAGGAAAGATGTGCAGCACAGAAGTAGCTGCTATCGAATGCCCTTCTATTCTTTTCGGCAACGGTAATAACACATCAAAGGTTTGAAGGAAGAATCCGCAATACTTTGGCATTTCTTTTCAAATAGGTTGTGCATGGTTAGTCCAATACTACAGATAGTCATGAGCACAACACTTTAATATGGAAACGTAAGAATTAGTTTATTGTCTTCATCATTTTTTCCTATTTATTCTACTAGTTTATACATAAATTGGAAGGTTTTTAGAGAAAGACAGAATTAATAAATAAAAATTTTAATGAAGGGATCGATTGTTTGAATAATAAACAAGTATTCATGCCTTTGTTCCCACAAAATAGGACTGATGCTCCCATTGCGTATTAGATCTTCTTAAATTATTTATTTCATTTATAATATTTCCTCCATTTCCTTATTTTGTTTATCGATTTATGCAGAGGATTTAGTATTAAAATATTTGCTTATCTAGATATTAGTCGCTTAAATCTTCAATAAATCCTATGATTATTGCAATTTGGTCCCTTAATCACCAAAAACCCTTAAGTATATTTTTTTGAAGGGTTATTGCAAAATGGCTGATACGAGTCGCCGGACGAGCACCATTGATTGCAAAATTATCAAGAGTGGGTTGTGAAGAAGACAAAAAAAACACACAAGAATTGAGTTGGTCGAAGGAAAATAACTTCTCTAGATTATGAGAAATAATAGATTACAAAATCTCTCTCACACAATCTCTCTAGATCAAAGAACAATCTCCCTGATCTCCTTTCTGAATACAATCTGCTTAGCAAACCCTAGAAAAGTCGTGTTTTAATATGTATTAAACACAAAACCTAAAGCGAATAAGAAACTGGAAATCGGGCTCAGCCCGACTTGCGGTCAACCGAAGAGACACATGCGGTCGACCAGATAGAACGATCAAAACTCAGTATCGACTACAGGGTTTGGAGGTCGACATCAGAACCCATTGCGGTCGATCGTGGCAAACGATCGAGACCAAAATCACCTACAGGGTTTTAGCGGTCGACCGCAAAGTACAACGCGGTCAACCGCGAAAAGTCCAGAGATTTTCCATGAGCTGTGCACGTTCGCCGTCGACCGCGTCGTCACGTGCGGTCGACCGCTGGAAGTCCAAAGTGTTTTCCTACAGTTTTCCTGTACTTTTCGACGTTACCACCTTCAACGACTTCGTCCACGTCTCTATTCTCAAGATACCATGAGAATCATCTATCCTCAAGATCCCATGAGGATTGCTAAGCTCCCGAAGCAAGGAAGAATATACACCCGTATTATGGCTCCACCCTTTATGAACTTGAAGTCTCATTCAAGTTAGAATTGAAGCCGAGGGAACTCTCGAGCCCCCTCCCTCTCTGTTGAACCACCTGGCTTTGCTAGGAACCTGACCTTGACGTCCGATCAAAAACGACTCCTTCGTCCCGCGTCTCGTCGTAGTCACCTTCCGTTCCAAAATGCAATCTTTTTTGAGAGGTTCTTCTCTATCAAACCACAAATCGTCAACATGCGGTAAGATCATCTTGTCATCACCTTCATCATCCAACAATGGAGGCTCAAACAACTTCAAATACTCGGCATTGATAACCGAATACATTCCTAGATAAGGTGGAAAATCCAGGTTGAAGGCGTTGTCACCAATTTGATCAAGAATCCAAAACGGACCATATCATATCGGCTTTAACTTCTTCCCTTCTCCCTTTAGCCGCTCCTTACTCAACTTCAGTCACACCATATCACCTTTACCAAAATTACAAGGAACTCAATGTTGATCATGTTTCGCCTTATACTTAGCCTGTGATTTTTTCAACTGTGCTTTCACTGTGGCATGAATATGTGCAATCTGTTCCAGAAATCACTGAGCTCATTGTCTTTCACTCCCTTCCTTGCCGTTGGTCGTAGCTTCACTAGAAAACATGAGATCAAACGGACTCGGAGGTAAAAACCCATAACAAGTCTCAAATGGTGACTTCCCCGAAGACCCATGAATAGCCCGATTAAATGAAAATTGAAGATATAGTAAGCTCTCATCCCAAGTCTTGGAATGCCTGGAATTATATCCCCTCAACATGTGTACCATAGTCCGATTAACTACCTCTGTTTGTCCGTCGGTTTGTGGATGGAAGGTCTTGCTCTTCTTCAATCTAGTGTCCATAAAGCTCCACAAAGAATTCCAAAAGTGCCCGAGAAACCGGCTATCTCGATCCGAAATAATTGAATTCGGCAACCCAAAGTGCTTCCACACATGCTCGAAGAACAATTGCACCACACCCGCTCTCGTCACGGTCTTCTTACAAGGAATCAAGATCACAATCTT